AGTGCAGTGTGTCCAAGTGATGATGGACGTCATAGCTCTGTCAACATCTGCAGAGGAGTAAAAGCTTGGCTATCATCCGTATTAAGATCAAGACACTGATTAAAACATGCTGTCTGCACTGTGTCGACTTTAAAAAGGACATATTATACCCCTTTTCCACCTCTTCAAACAGTCCCCTGTGTTCTAAATGAAACATCTGTGCTGTGCTTTTTTCAAAATACAACTTCAGAATCAAGCACTAGAGGAGGTTTGTGACCCTGTATAAACCAGCTCTATCAGAACGCTCCGTTTTGGTGTGTGTGTCTCTTTAAATGCAATGAGCCCCCCCCCAATGAGGATTATTATTTTTTTACCAGAATCCCACTTGTGATGTCACAAATTGAGCAAATTTTAAACTGAGCATTTGTCTCTGTATTGTAAGACTTATGCAGACCACAAAGAAAGGACTGGATGGATTTATTTCACATTTTGTGGGTTGGTAGACACTCAGGTTACTCAAATATACATTAAAAACACTGTGCAATTGGATTTTGTCCCCTTTAAATGAATGAACTTTCACCCACACCCATTATGCACACTCCAACACAAACAAATGCACACACTTAGGATGTATGTATGTATGCACAAGATTGATACAGCTAATCACACTCCATCTCATTCTTCTTTATTAAATCACCATTCCTCCATTCACAAATGTGTCCATATTGCACTCAGACGTGTGCTTCTGTGTAGCTCATCTATGCTGCAGATACATATTTCAGAGCCCACGCAGCTCTGCCACTGTCAGCGAGAGGAGCAGGATGAAGGAGGGAGGAGGAGGTGGGCTGCTGTCGTCTGGGTCTGGGGAAGGCTTGCCAGCCAGCACAGGTGGCGTTTTGTCTGGAGTCTGCCCAGAGAGTGAGGGAGCAGAGAAAAGAGGCAGGGGGGCATGGGGGAGGAAAAAATGCAGAATCAAGATGTACAGTATTTTGATTTACATCGCATTGTTTTATTCCATGTTTTAGTGCTTGATCCTTTGTAATTGGTTTACTTTTTTTAAATATGGAAAACCCTAATCCTGCTGACTGAATTGTGCTTTAAATATAGAAAAGACCTGGAAGTGCCAAATTGCTCGGCAAAAAAAACAATGAAACTGGGTTAATGAAAAGCATGTTTGCAACAGGGGAAGGATTTTATGATCTATTTTTAAGTCCAAACTCAAATCAATACTCAATGGCGGAAATGTTCTGTATGATCTCACCCTTGTTTTCATCTTGTAGTCATGAAATGTTTCATTTTATGTGTACAAGCTCTGCCAAATGACTACATTGGTGCAGGGGTTTGGCTCCTCTCTCTGAGACGCTGGCAGCAGCGCCGGGTTGTTATTAAGGGTGCTTCATCAGGCTTTGTGATTACAGCCCTGACCAAGCTGACAGAATGTAGCCCCACCGACAAACAGCATGCAAATGATTCTCACACACAAGCATGCATCTGTGCTGCCATACACAGATACACACAGATATAATGTACGTGTCAGGCAACATGAACACATGCTGTATGTGTGCGGGAATAACACACATACATTTGTGTCACCTCAAATTGTCACACAGTGCTGTGCCATTAAACCTCACTGTTGACACACCCCCTGCACCCTTACACGCACACTTCTCAGACTCTAACGTGGAAAAAAAACATACTTCTTTCCTGCATTTTTTTCCCCCAAAACCACGATCCCTTCCAGGAGTAAGTAGGAAGGTGGAGAGGCAGAAGGGTGTAGGGTGGAGCATCTGGAATAACACTCACTCGCCTCTCAAATCACTGCATTGCCTTTGATCTCTTTCACACTTACGCACTTAAACACACACACACACACACACACACACACACACACACACATATACACATGCACACGCACATTTCTGAATCTGATGACATTGATCTGGATGGTGGTCTTAAAGTAGACTCTATCTGGTGTTGGGATGTGTGTGTGTGTGCGTGTGCACATGCATGTAAGCAAGTGAGTGTGTGTGTGGCAGCTGGACCCACTGAACACTAGTAATTGGGGAGGGGTGATGATTGTGGCTACTTACCAGTGTACATTTCAAGCATTCACTCTTGAAACACATAATCACACACACACACACACACACACACACACACACGCACGCACAAACTGCAGTCTGTACTTTCTGACATTTGAAGTCAAAGGCCATGATAAGAATTTAGTTTTAATAAGCACCAAAACATAGGAACCCCTGGACACACAGATCAGCCTATTTATTATCATGTTGTTTATTTTTCTTAAATATAATTTATATTGGGGCACAGATGGCCTTGCGGTTAGGTCGCGACCCATGTATGGAGGCTACATTCCTGCAGACGGGTTTAAGTCTGGCCTTTGGCTCTTTTCTCATATATCAGTCTCCACTCTCTCGTTTACAAATGGGAGTAAACACTGTGACATCACCAACTTGTTTGTGAATTGCCCTTTTGAAACTTTGAATTCTGAATTCTGAACTTTGGCTATTACTATGTTGGTGTTTTTGCACCAAAGATGAAGAAGTGACCAAAGTTAGAGGACATTGTGAGTTTCATGCACCTTGATCCTTGTTGATAGTGTAACATGTCTTGGACATGCAAAAAGGGGTGAATAACTTTACTATAGCTAACGGAAGCTCACCACACATTAGTTAACTAATTATTGAACTAAATGAGAGCTCACTCCCTGCCAACCTGCTATTCTACTCTTTCCTAGTGGAAGGAGCTATGTAAAATTACTCCTCTAACACCCTTTGGAGGACAGATGAACAAGTTATAATCACAGCCCCAGGATTATCTGCCTAACATTCATTTCTAGAATAATTAGATTCAAGGATAACCCCTGGTATAGGACTCTAGATTACCCCCCAGAGAGGGAATAACTGTGAACTCCCCCCGCTAGGATGTTAGGTGTGTATGGGATGTGTATAAATCAGTAAGACAAGTATGCCGTGGTGTGACTGCTCAAAACTTACCTTCCGAGATACATGGGGTCCTTAAGGGGAACTTCCAGTCTTTGTGGTGTAAATGATTTCAGTCAGAAAATGATTTCACAAAGTTTCTGAAAATGTATTAAAAAATGTCAAATGATATTCCAAATGCAAATACAAAACAGTAAAAGTAAAATATATAAAAATGGAAAAGAAAAGAAAAACTCAAAGACCAAACCTAAACCTGTGAGTGTAGACACTTGAGGTTTTAAAAGATCTTGGTCTCAGAGACTAAGTCCCAAAATGGGATTTCAAAAGTCAGAGTGGCGTGGATTTGTTTAGCAAAGCAAAAAGGAACCCCGATCAGATTTTCTACAGGGTTTTTATAGCCAGAAAGTCACTCTTTTTACAAGATCCTGTAACACCTCAACACGTTCGCAGAAACGTGATGTATCCACAGGTCATGCCAAGTTCATGACATAGGTAATACCAAGTTCGTATGTGGTTTCAGCTTGAAGACCGTGAACCGAGCAGATACACAGAAGAGCTGACACTCAGAAACGCTATACGCCTACGAGCTCCTATGTGGTTGTGCTTCAATGTATGGCACACTTATGTTGACCTCACCGGAGTGTAGGCACTACGAGTGTGTGTAAGTTTAACAGGAAATGTTGAAAGCAGAAAAAGGTTATGACTTTATGACCTTTATGTATTAAATGATGAAAGAATTAAATGATAATAAAAGGAAAAAACAAAAACAAATTAATCAGTTGCATAACTCTTTCTGATCTTTCAACAATAGACTTCCCATGGTAGCAACTTGTTAATCATGGGTACCCTTGCCCAAAACCATAACCTGCTTTATTGTTAATTTGACTCTGAATGGGACCAAAATGTACTGTAAAAACACCATGCTGTAATGAAGAAGACTTGGAACTAGGGTTTGGGGCCATTAACTCTTTAGAAAAATATTTACTGAGGTAGTAAAGCAGCAGATTTTTTTTTTCTTAGCTTAAATTGATTCCTTCTTGTAACCTGGGGACCTGGACTCATAATGTTCCCTAAACTAATAAGAAATTGAGAGCTAAAAATAATTTATTCCCAGGTCAGATAGTTAGTCAGAACAACTAGATTAACAGTGAAATGGATAGCTTAAAAAATATCCAAAGGGTTTAAATAGTTTAGTTTAAGTAATGGAAGTACTGCTATAGCTGTAGCATTGTGTGATTAACCCAGTAAAGTGTTTATCATGTGAGTTTATTCATTTCTACTATAAACATACTGACACACTTTACTTTTGTCGAGGCAGGAGAATAACTTGGAAGTCATTTTTCTCAGTTTCACTACACCAACATTTCTAACATTTTGGCTCGGGGGGGGGGGGGAGCAGCTATTAAGTCTTGTGGTGCTAACACAAATTTTCATTTCAAAGAATGTGCACGCAAGAATGAAAGTGTGACTTTGGTTTATTCAGTAATTAAGCAGAGTTTTATGCAGTTTGACGCCTGGCAGTGTAGAAATTAGCCTTGAATCTGCTGCTTGTTTTAAAGTCCTGAAGCTGAAGCTGGTTTGAATTATCATCTGTCAGTCCACTGCTGTGTGTGTGTGTGTGTGTGTGTGTGTGTGTGTGTGTGTGTGTGTGTGTGTGTGTGTGTGTGTGTGTGTGTGTGTGTGTGTGTGCGTGTGTGCCATGTGTGTTTGTGTGTGTGTGTGTGTGTGCGTGTGTGCCTTGTGTGTTTGTGTGTGTGTGTGTGTGTGTGTGTGCGTGTGTGCCATGTGTGTGTGCCGTGTGTGTTTATAGGGGAAAACACTTAAAGTCTCTGCAGGCTACATTTGGACTGTATCGATGTGATTGACAGTGTTAATGGTGTGATAATTCAACACATCAGACAACTGAATACACTTCATTTCTCAGTGTGGTTTGTATAATCAGTCTCTGAAAAGTTCTTTCTTTACTCGTTCCATCATTTTACCTTCTACTTTTCCGTTTCACCCTCTTTGCATATTAAGCTCTCCTCTCTCTATATTTCTCTCTCTCTCTCTCTCCTGCAGGATGAGTGTCGAAATTTCATGAAGGTGCTGCTCAGCAGACAAGGCGGCTTGTTTGTGTGTGGGACGAACGCCTTTAACCCGCTATGTGCCAACTATACGGTAAGTACCTAAGCTGTACCTCGTACAACCTGCGTCATAATGTCAGTATGAAGCCAGATTGATTAAACAACAGTGAAGAATGCAGAAACTATTAGTCCCAAACAAAGGCACTACATAAGTATGCCTGTTTAGATGAAAACATAGGGCTTGATTAACGTTGTTTGTTCAGCACTGCAGGCGGTGTTGACTTCCTCCCCAGGACTTATTTATCCAAGTTGTTCCAGCTCCTTGTTCTTCTGAGATATAACAGTTGTTATTTCTCGACTTGCAAACTTTGTGGTCTGCGGAGCTTGTTATCAATGAGAGTCAGAGACAGATAATCAAGAAGAAAACAAAGAGAGGAGAAGAGGAAGAGGAGGAATAAGGATGCAGACGTGACTTGTTTGCCCGGTTAGATTTCCTTTAAGAAATCCAAAGCAGTTCCCCTTGCTGGAGGCCGAATTAAAGAGACGCCAGGGTTCAAGCTACAAGTGTACATGCGGACTGACCTGACTCACTAAATTAGACACTGAGTTATATTTGTTCCACTTTCTTCAAAATCTATCTGTCAGAGCTTGAAGGGTTCGTATCAAACTCGCTCACCCAGCGGATCGTGCTCCACATTCCCGACCAATCCCTGCCTCGCTCAATTACAGTAACGATTTCAAAACTTGTGGAGGAGAACCTGCGCATAAATATTAATCTGCAGCTCGGCTGATTTCACATCATTCTCCAGGAATATTAAACGAGGGATGAAGGCGGTTGGGTTTGAAAAAGTGAGAGGGGGAAAAAAATTCTTCCACACTATCAAAGGCTTTTTCAGATAAGTGTTATTTTCAGTCTCTCACATTTCAAACGTAGTGAAACAGTGGAACACGGAGACGTACCTGGCCCATTATCTGTCAGCCGCTAATGACACTCTACAACACACCTGTCTCTGCCTGATAGGCCGTCTGTTTCTCTGGGGACTAGTTAGTGATGCTAGCTACTGTTTTATTTATATCTGAGTTTTAATAAAAATGACAACTATGAATTATTTCAGCCTTGGCAAGAGACTAAAACTATACAGCTATAAATGTTTGTGTAACAGAGACATGCAGAAATGAGATTGAAAATGAAAACTTGTTGGTGACTTAATGTGGTTGTATGGACCCCTTAATGTTGGTGCACTGGTGTTAGTTTGTATGCTTTATTTATGCATGAGATTGTGACTCTCTTGTTGTTGATGCTGGGTTTAATTGCCACCAGTGAGTCATTACTTTGCACTTACAGTAACACTCCCTAATTGGCCCTCTGTTTGTTGTTTCTTTTCATAATGATGATGTAGATTCATTCATATTGTTTGGAGTTTGCTGATTGAAGTGTTTATGAATCAACAATGTGTGTGCATGTGTATTTGTGTGTGTGCCGTAACAGGGAGACACTCTTGAGATGATAGCAGACCCGGTCAGTGGAATGGCGAGATGCCCGTATGATCCTAAACACGCCAATGTTGCTCTGTTTGCAGGTAAGACACATTTAGTCTGAGTCTCTACTCTCTCTCCTTCCCCTTGATCATTCAGTGCTCCTTCACTATGTGCTGTCACAGGTTTAGTTTTGGTACAATCTCAGAGATGAATATTTTTTTGAACATATCATTCTTCTTATTTTTACACTCTTGAATACAAGGGAGCTCAACAAAAGGAAGTAATGTTATTTAAACATTCTGTTTGTTCGCTCAGTTTTATTTTATTAGCTTTAAACACTTCACTGTAATCAAATCAACTTTTCTGAGGCTGCAACTGTAGGGAGCCATTACTGTTCAGCAATCATCCCATCAACCCATTTTCTAATATGAGCTTGAGGTGAAAGTGTTTTTTGTGTGTGCGTGCAAAGTTGCAATTATGTCCAAACTAATTATGATGCAAGACTGTGAAAGTTAAACCTCATTCACTCTAGCACTTTTGTTCCAAGTTGTGCAGTTTCTTTGCCAGGTTGTCAAACTCACAAATGTTTCTTTCTATGCGTGTGTGTGTGTGTGTGTGTGTGTGTGTGTGTGTGTGTGTGTGCGCGTGTGTTTAAGAGGGGAATCTGTTTACAGCCACAGTGACAGACTTCCTTGCCATCGATGCGGTGATCTACCGGAGCCTTGGGGACAGTCCTGCTCTGCGCACCGTCAAGCATGACTCCAAGTGGTTCAGAGGTAAAGAAATGTGTGTGTGTGTGTGTGTGTGTGTGTGTGTGTGTGTGTGTGTGTGTGTGTGTGTGTGTGTGTGTGTGTGTTTGTGTTCCCGTATGCTTGTTAAGGTGTATCTGTTTACGTTTTCGAAAGTGTAGGCGCAAGCGGCAATTTTCTCAAGTACATCTTCTGGTAGAGACTCGTGTCTGCTGTTTATGTTTTTGTCTGATGTTTTGAGTGCGTGTCTGCATCACTTAGCAGCAAGCAGGATCGATTCATGTGTCAGAAGCCGAGTGCTGAGTAAGCAGTCTGACAGCTGAATGTTCGGTTCGCTGGACATGGGAATGTCAAACTTGTGTTTGGAACATCTACATGATGGTCAAACAGTCAAAATGAAACAAATATTGGTTGTAGCCGGCCCTGGGTGTAATGGCCCAAAGTGCATGGCGTGAAACTGAGTTGTCTGAAACACCAGGGAGTCATAATGTGCTTATTGTTTGGTGTGAAATCCCCTTTCAGCGTGTAATGAAATTAAACATGGGCTGTGCTTCGTTCTCACTGCCCTCATGTTACGTCGGTGTCGTGAGAGCGAATGATACATCGGCAAATGTAGACACTGTCTGCTATGTGCTTTCTCATGATCCATCTATATTTCATTTAACCCTATCTCTCTCTCCCTCCCTCCCCCCCCTCCCCCCTCCTGTAGAGCCGTATTTCGTCAGTTCTGTGGAGTGGGGACCTCACATCTACTTCTTCTTTAGAGAGATAGCCATGGAGTTCAATTACTTGGAGAAGGTATGGAAGTCGATATGATGAAACTCTCTCCTCCTCTCTCCCCCTCTGAGCTCTTAGTATTCACACAGATGAGCTTCTGGTCTATTCAGAGCGCCTTTAAAGGACTGTAGCTGAATATGTGAATATGTTGTTTGAATGCATCACCATGAAAGCAAAACATGCTGCTCTAGTATAACTCCGTTGGCATTATTTGAATGTCAATACAAGTCTTTTCCCTCAGCTTCACTGACCTTTCAACCTCATATTTGTTTATCTGCATATCTAATCTGACAAATCGCACTCTGAGCGAACAACTCGTGTCTGTATTAACCTGAGAAAGGCTTTTTTTTTTTTTTAAATCAACCAGATTGGAGGATACATGACAATCAGCACTACAAAACCAGTTTCTAATATACATTAGCAATTCATATTCAAGTAGAAGAGATTGCAGAAGGTCTCTGGCCTTGACATGTTTACAGGGGAAGAGGAAATGGATGCTTACACAGTATTACCATTTTGTGGTTAAGGGTGTTCAAAGAAGCAGGTTTTAGTTGTACTGAAATTTTCATGAATAACTGATATGAAATTTAACTTTTAAAACAATGAGCTGTCAAAGCAGGGATTCAGGATTCCAGGTAGCAGGCAGATGACTCTTTGTCATTAGAATCTTAGAGAATACAATGCAGTCTGAAAAAGCTTTTACTGTTGTGATAGACTTCAAAACTCAAAGCTTTGAAAAGATTTTCCGACCACCAAGCTTATCCCTGGAGTTATATGTGAGCTCATACAATCATGCCTGTCATCATGTGTCAAAATGTATCTTCCAAAATGATTCTCCACGCCTACATCTGCATCTCTGTGCCTTAATTCTCGCAGGTGGTAGTGTCACGTGTGGCCCGAGTTTGTAAACGGGATCAGGGCGGGTCCCAGCGCGTCCTGGAGAAGCAGTGGACGTCGTTCCTGAAGGCCCGTCTGAACTGCTCCGTCCCCGGTGACTCCCACTTCTACTTTAACCTGCTGCACTCCACCAGCCCCATCATCAGGATGCACGGCAGGGACATAATCTTGGGGGTGTTCTCCACACCGGCTAACAGGTACAAACACAGACCACAACTAACAACTAACACCCAAATATCCCTTTTTTCTTTCAACGTTCTACATATCATGTTCGTTGAACTCACGGCCCTGTTATATTTCAAACAATTCAGTAACTTTGATAATAATTAAACTATTTATCCATTGCTTTTGACTACATTCTGAATTACTCTTAGCTATTTCCACCGTTTATTACAGTATATTAGAGTAACAGCTTTATTATTATTATTAAATTATCTTTATTGGTTTTTCAAGCAATCAAAGGAAAAACACACATTGACATCACACAATATCCCCCCCCCGGAGACTGGCCTCCAAAAACAAACAAACAAACAAGAAAAAAAACAATATCACATACCATACAGTAGAAGGCACATATAGGCATCAAATTGGATTTCTCGAAGCGTTGTTGAAGCGTAGACATTATCATAATAATCTAGGAATGGGCCCCACACTTCATAGAATTCGTTGATTGACCCTTGAGTAGTGTATCTGAGCTTTCCCAGCTTCAAATGAGCCATGACATCACTGACCCAGCGACTATGCAAAGGAGGCAAGTTGGACTTTCAATTAAACAAAATTAGACGTCTTGCCAGCAATGATGAAAAGGCCAAAGCGCGGGTCTGGGCTCGGGGGAGACACAGGTCCCTCTGAGCCACACCAAATATTGCCAACTGCGGCACCAGATCAATGTCCTTATTACACATGTACGAAAATGTCTCAAAAATCCTATTCCAAAATGTTCTCATCCCTGGGCATGACCAGAAAGTGTGAAAAAGAGTCGCTGGGTCCCAGTTACACCGTTGACAGGGTGGGTCAATTTCAGGAAAAAAGTTTGGCAAGTCTGGTCCTTGATAGGTGAAGTCTGTGAATTATTTTAAACTGAAAAACATTATGTCTGACACAAATAGAGGCTGAGTGGATCCCAGCAACAGCTGATTTCCAGGTTTCTTCTGAGAGTCTTTCGCCAAAATCATCCTCCCACTTTGACTTTAGATGGGCGAGGCTGTCGACAGTAAGATGTCATATACTTGCGATATAGAATTATGCTCAGAAGGGCCTTCACGGATACAATCCTCTAACCAGCTGATGGCGGTTAGAAAAGGGAATGTTGTAAACTTCTTCTTAACAAAATCCCTGATCTGAAGGTACCGAAAGAAATGAGACTATGGAATGAGTAACAGCTTTAATCCGTTTACAAGCTATAACACATTTTCCTAATTTACTTGGCTAAATACAAAATGTCTATCGTTCACTTAACTACCTATATCCACTTTTTTGTTCCTTTTGGTAGAATATTTCAGCAATTTGTTCATTTCTTACCCACTTTTTCCTACTATATATTTCCCCATTCTCTCATTTCTCTTAAAACCGATTGAACCTTTCTGCTCTCTTACTAACTAATTTGCACACACTTTCATCTATGAAGAACTGCATACAGCACAGGAGGAGGTGTCTGCTACATTCCTATGAAAGTTGTTCAGGAGCACATGAATCAAAAGAAGTTTCACTTCAGGGTATAAATATACTGCTGGATATTCTAAAATTGGAGTAAGCACACTAACATTTCTTTTAGACTTGCATCCAAGCAGCCTTGGCCATGATCTACAAATAGTATGCCTATAATGAAAAAATCAGGATTGGGCTATTAGTGAATTTTACAACTTCTAGAGAACTAGTACAGCGCTAAACATTTTAAACTAAAAGAGTAATTTAATCATAATTTGAAGTCTGCTTAGAAAGAACTGTTTGCAGCTGCTTTTCTCCCTGTCCTCTCTCTCTCTATCCCTCCCTCTGGTAGCGTTGTCTTGGCTCTGTTCTGAATTATTTAGCAAGCTTCGACTTCACACCAAAGATAATGCAAACGAGTTAACCTAAATATTAGTAGGGATGTTTCTGTCCTCATAAAGCATAGGAAGTCACATGTTTTTACCAGCTGTATGCAAAGCTAAGCCGTCATTACTCCTACTACTGCTAATTATTGTTCCACAATCTTTTTGCAAAACTGCTACCAAGTGCAAACCCTGGTTGCAAGTCTATTCTAATACTAATACAAATCTAATACTCAACCTGTGTGTCATCAAAGAAGCTTTTTCTGTGTGCAAACTTCCATTACAATGAAGACAGAGGTGGAGGGATATCAGTCCATGTCCTCTCTTTCAGAGAGAAAAGGGGTTTCAATCCCAGGAGCTTTTTTCTTTTGGTAAAAGCCTTGACATACTTTATCTGGAGGCTGAGATAGACACCCAGTGTAACGCAGCACTCACACAACTCACCTTTAAAATTTCTGGGACCACCATCATCTGTTCCTTTTTCCTATGAAGTCAGACGGAGCTGGAAAAGCAAAGCTCCAGAGGAATGAGAGTGGCTGTGTGGAAGTGTAAAGGTCACCATAGGGGGGTACAGAGTAATTTAAGACACATGGAATGCTTTCATTGGGGACAAAAGGGTGATTTGTTGAAAGACAAGATTAAATTGAAAAAAGGTGAGAGGAGAGGAGGGATGCTATTTGGTAAATTGGGGGTTATTGTTCACTGATGGTGTTTAAAGTGCCATAGACAACAAAGAAAGAAAAAGAGAGGATTCAACAATAAAGAGAAGAAGATAAGTGACTGAAAAATAAATAATATAAGCTATAACTGTAGTAGCAGATCCATTTAATTCACATAATAGAAAATGTATTTTTTTACTGGATGATTTTCTAAAGTGAGATTTTGAGTCTGTAAATGACCAAGAAAACGGGGATTCAATAATTTAGAAGAAATAAACAATACTGTACCACTGTTTCTGTAACAGTTGGCTTAATCCACTTATTCTCTGTAATTTGTATCAATTTTAGTAAGAAAAATAATGGGAAAAAGAACTACTGTATAAGGCTTAGTGTTGTTTGCATGTGTGCAAACATCCTCCATGTGTACTTCAAGTTGCACAGGGACAAACTAAGATCTTCAAAACAATGTATTTCTACACTATGCTGCGGTCTAGGTGGATCGAATCATGAAAAAGTATTTGGTGGGGTGTCATATTTTTCTGTTCTGGCCCACTCATCTTACCCTATCTGAATGGCCCTGATAGCATTTACTGCATCTTCTATAGTACAAGCACATTGAAGCAAACACATACAAATACATACAACTGCCTGCTATGTACCTCTGGCCTGGAATTATTTCTGTATCTCACATAAAGACAGAGAGCAGCATAACTGCCACCTATGAGTGGTCTGTGTAAAATACTGTATCTTTTTTTAATATAGGAAATATTAAGCTGCAAACCAGGTGCAGAACTGCATTTTAAAGCAGTCCAAATTTCTTATTAGATATAAGAGAGAAAAGGGGGGAAGAACAAAAGGTGGACAAAGGCCCGCTAGACAGGAGAGAACAAGTTGAGCGTGGTAAGGAAGGAGTACAAAAGGGGAATAGACGGATGGGAAGCTCAGGCATGAGGAAGTCAAAAATGAACAACATGTGCATCCCTTGCCCTCTGAGATCAAAAACTGTTTCATCTGCTGCATCTTATCTGTGTGTTTGGGAGAGCTATGCTGTGAGAAGGGGCCACCGCTTGCATGGATAGATTGAAGCCTCACACACACAAACACACACACACACAAATACACACACCCACGCCCACTCTCATACACAAACAAACATGTGCATAAACACACTTGCAATGGTTCCCAGATAACAGCATTTACAGCAAGCCACAGAGGAGAACCAGCTGAACACATAACCCTGCCTGGGTAAACTGCCACTGGGTCCTTTTTTTTTTTTTTTTTTTTTTTTTTAAATAACTGCTAGCCAAGAGAGAGAAAAGGGACGCTTTTGATATATGGATAAGGACATGTGTGATGGAGTAAAATGAGCACAAAGAGAAGGAGAGAACGTGTGAGGTGAGCTGCAAAAGCTCCCACTGGCCTCGCGTGGCCCACTGCGCCACATTGGCTAAGTGCTCGCCAGACAAATTGCTTTGGCTGGCAGCGTGCAGTGAAAACAACGTGAAGCAGGACCTTCAGTAGGAGGAATAGCAATTCTCGCCTGCCATTTGGCCCTGTGCAGCATACATGGGGCTGTAGCTTGGGAATAGTGAAAATAAGTCAAGGTTTTCCTGGGCCCTCCTGTAGTCTTCACTGTAAAGTTACTCATCTCCTCCTGTGCTCAAGTCCACAGGCAATATGATGCTGCATTTGTGGGACTTTTCAGTCTCTTCCTCTTAAGTTGAAAATCGCCTCAGGTTGTCATTTATTTTATGCATCCTCCTCTGAAGCCCCAGGCACGTCCTCTCGAGAGGGATGAAAGAAGAGCTTGGATTTCCCACTGAGCACCTCCTGCGTTTATGCTTTTGGTGCTCAAGGGGTCAGGGAGGTGTTCGGAGCAGCAGCAAATTTCAACTGCAAAAAAAAAGAGAGAGAAAAAGAAAAAGATACAATTGGGGAGAAGAAGAGGGGAGAAAAGTACTTTGCAACTCAAATAAATGAGTATATGTCAAAAGACAAGCAACAAGATGTCAAATGGAAGCCTTACTTTCACCAAAATACATTGAGCTAGCGCTGAAAACAATCATTTCTCATTACTTCTTTGTTATTGTTTTGGCAGCTGAAAGTGTCTTTCGTGCTGGAAGAGACTGACGTGGGCTCATTAGGCTTAATGGAGCCATGCAGGAATGAAAGGAAAACATCCCATGTACAGTCGAGTAAATCTAGTGCATCCTGAGAGCACTGAGTCCATGTTTGGTTTTGTCTGTAAAGAATCTGATGTGAAAGAGTCAGACAGCAGGATGTCCCTCTGGGAAAACGCAGCATAGGAAGGGAAATGAGGAGGACAAGGAGCAGGAGGAGAACAGGTTTTCTGTGCCACGGGAAGCGTGACACATGGGAGGATACACAGATGTTCAACTAGCCCCCTCGGGCCTGCACGAGTAGAGAAGGCAGCGGGGTACGATAGCTAGCTAGTGCTTGAGAAAGGCGTATGGGAAAAGTGCGGAACAGGTTGACAGTAGAGCCATGTCACAAGGACAGCACACAGTTGCTACAGAGGAAGGTAATCACTGTTAGGAAGATAAGAGAATACCCAAGAGAATTTGGTGTTGAAAGGTCAAGGAAAGTATGAAAATGAGGTTTCTTGAATACAGAAAGTGAGGTCAGGTAAGAGGCTGGTGGTAAAGCGAATCCGAGGAAAAGAGAATACTGAATAATATTAAAAAGGAATATAAAAGTTGTAAGTTGAGAAAGTGTAAATTGTCTAGTCTCTAGACAATCAAAGCCAGAGGTTAAGGAGTTTATATAAAACTTTTCAATCGTAGCACTAACAATAGTTCAAGCATCTGTGCCAATTTTTCTATAAACTGCAAACTGGTCATTTGTCAGTAGGAACACCTCCACTTTAAGTCAAAGTCTCTGCTGGTTTACTGACAGCACCACACAGGACCTCAGTAAGTCACTCTACTCCTTTCAAAGAAATCAATCAACCAATCAATATTGTATTTTGTTGTGCCAGATCATAAAAGTTATGTCACCTAGATGTAGAATTTAAAGGTTCAAAAGATTCAGTCTGAGCACCAAACCCTGAAACTCTGTGACTCACATAGAGGACTCATAACTTAAATGCAAAAACAAAGATCCACCTGATAGGATTGAAACCACTTTATTTCTGTCCCTTTTATGCCAGTTATTTGTCACTTTAATAATGCTCTATTTTACAACTTTAAACTGCAGTTAATTGCACATTACAGTTTTTGAACATGTTCAGTTCACTGGAGATAAACTACAGTAGTGATCAGATGTGTTTAGTTTTTGTAAAGAACAAAGCTATCTGTGTCCCTCCGCTTCCAGTCTTAACACTAAGCAAAGTTGAGCTAAGCTAACTGTATCATGGCTCAGACTTTATATTAAAGAGATATATCAGATAGATTGTTATCCTCTCATGTAGCACACTACACTCTTAAATCCTCTAAAATACCAGTTGAGCCAAAACAATATAGATTTTGGCCTCACATGAGTGCATGTTAGTTGAGTATGAGGCCATGCTAGTTGTAACGTTTATTATGGTGGCCAAATGTTAATCTCCTAAAGTTATCAAGGTTCAACTGAGCCCCCTCTGACTCCATGTGAAGTTTGATGTAAATTGCAGACAAACGATAAGCATTTAAAAAGGTGTTTAAATAATGAAAGCTGTCCAAGAAAAGAAATACAAGGATCGTTTGCAAATTGTTTACTTGGAATCAGAGCACAAGTGACATTTGAACAGACCTTAAAACCCCTCTGTGGTTTATAGATGACATATCTCACAAGGTCTCATGTTATATCTATGATTAGTTTTGCCAATCCAGGGCTCTAAAATAATCATTAACCCGTGTTTGAAGGATACACATCGAACCTCCCTTTACTCCAACTCTCTTCTCCTCTTCCTCATCTACTCCTGGATGCATCAGGGCTCCGTGGCTTTTCTGTTATTTCAAGCTCTCGGTGAAGTTGTTCAACAGTGAGGGAGTACTTCAGACACCACAGCAGGCCTCTCGTAGGGACATCCCATGCATCTAGCCGGGACAGTCTGTAACCCCCCCAGAACAAGTGAAGAAAGGACAAATGCTTATGGACTCAGTATCAGGGACATGCACAAATTAACAAAGGAAAGTGGTCACAAACCTGAGAAAGAATAAAAAAATAAGTGAAAAATAAATTTGTGCTAGAGAAATAACACACATTGAATAAAAAACAAGCAGAAGAGAAAACCACAGAGTGAAAATAAGAATAATTAAGAGAATTCAGAGAGAAAAACAGCCTGAGGCCTTTGGCTTACGTCTGTTCGACATGCAGCTCAACACGATGCAAACCCAACTACCTGCAGCGAGAGAGACGGAGCGAGCCAGCACAGGGCGTAGAGAGGTGGCTTGAAGGTAGAGAAAGCCAAGCTGGCACCGGTGCAGAGCTGGCACACGTGTCGCACGTAACATCTGGTGCCTGCAGCCCTCAAGAGACACGTATCGTCCACAGATACGCCCGTAGCTCCGCCACACTGGCCCAGGTTGAGCCACATCCCTGCCTATGAATGATAAGAACTGAGGGAGACGGCGTAACCTGACCCCCCCCCCCCCCCCCAATCCAAAATCCAGCCTATCCAAACAAACCCTTCTGTGACTTTCAAAGGGGCACTCTACTGGAGAATCACAGGGACGAGCCATCAAATCACCAGTTGGACTTTAATTTTGTGAGAAAGGAGCAGAGAGAAAGAGAATGCAGGAAACAGATGGAGTGTGTGTGGGATTTATGGAGCAGCAGGTTGCAGGTGACTCAGTCTCTCAGGTTTTTTATTTTCAATGTGCGTATCACTGAGGTATTAGTCACTAGCTCTCACACCACGCACACCATTAGTCATTGATGAGGACACATTCAGAGAGGAGGGTTGAGTCTCAGAGCAGGACGAATGGGATTTTGTTTAAAAACTCATTCCTTATCACATCCACATACAGCTCCCTTTATTTTTTTTGTTTCTGTAGATGTCTCTTTAGTCATAACACAAAAAGTGTCTGCTGTCTTTGTCCTATCACTGTCTTTTTGTTCGTGTGTGTGTGTGGGCTGTGGACAATTCTCGGAGCAGATGTTCTGATTCCCGTCACGGAGGTTCATGAGTAGTTAAACAGCCTCCAAGGTGCACCTTGATTTAGACCGGAATGTGTTTTAGGATTTAACAAGAATCTTCCTCCCCTTCAAATAGAAAGGAAACATATTCAATGACTCATTTCCTATTCCGTTTTATAATCCTGGAATTACAGCCAAGATCTTTTCAGGGGTCTAATCTAGCTGTTGCATCCGTTACATATCTATTCGTCGCTCAGGGAGGTGACAGCATCTATCCTATCCTGTCTCTCTTTCTGTCTCAGAAACAATTTCCTTTGTGTTCAAGTATCCAATGTCAAATCTATGAACAGCCCAAATCCAATTTGTCATCTTCCCTGGGTGCCTGTCTCTTTCTCACACTCACAATTGATTCCCTATATTTTAACTTCTTTCATTTTTTTCACATTTCACAATCTGTTTTTCAGTTGAGGTATTACCTGCCTTTCCTCTGTTACGTCGTTTGTCGCTTACTCTCTCACGATGCTTTGAAAACAGTGAAGCCCACTTGACACGGCACTGATAGTGAGTTTTAAAGTGTTTCATTCATTTACAGTCTCAATCCAACTCAGTCTCGCCTCTTTGTCACCTCAGTATCCCAGGATCGGCCGTGTGCGCTTTCGACATGGAGCAGCTGGCCTCGGTGTTTGAGGGGAGGTTCAAGGAGCAGAAATCACCAGAGTCTATTTGGACGCCAGTTCCAGATGAAGTCATCCCAAAGCCGAGGTACTATAGGCTGTTATCAATTCAAGCGCCTGTGTTCAGATTGGTACCATACAACAAAACTGCGTAATGAACCATCTGGGTTTTATTCAATATAATACAATTATATAATGTGTGTATTGCAGGGTTCATAGTAAAAGGAAATACATACCATACAATAAACAATAGGTTTACAATTTAAACGCTGACATAAATGCTGCAAATTTTAGTTACAAGATGCAAAGGGGCTGGTTTTATATACATATATTGTTTCACAGTGCAGCCTTTAAAAACTGTTTCCAGGACATTAGAAGTCATGTGGAGTTTAGAATTTATTTTTCACAAGGATAAAACTTGTTCTCATCAAATCTAAAGGCATCTCTTGACCTCATTCAACTATGCATCACTTGCCAAATACTTCAAAAGTGAGGTAAATCACATCAGCCTGCTGTGTGTGAAAGTGAGACACTCTGACAGTCTAGACTGCTTAATTAGATGAATGTATCTTTACTCTGGCCTGAAGTATTCCAAAAAAAAAGAGTTTGATACGTTGCCTTTGAGCCACCTGGTAAACATGTTCTTAATCTTGTCATCTCCAGACCTGGGGGCTGTGCTGTTCAAGGATCCAGGTTTAATTCCTCCAACTCATTTCCTGATGAGATGCTCAACTTTGTTAAAACCCATCCTCTGATGGATGAAGCTGTGCCGTCGCTCGGACAAAGACCGTGGATAGTCAGAACCATGGTCAGGTAAGACGAAGCAACCCAACACTGACACTGTTACATTAACGTCAATATGCTAAAGCTTTACAGATTTGCTGAATCACAGTGTGATTAAGTAAAAGTTCTTATTAACCCAACAACAAAGCATATTTCATCATTCTGCAAGAAGCAAAACCTTTTGTGGAGAACATATTTGAGAAATAACGTAATTTGTTTACCTCCAGTCAGTTCAAGCAAAGTTGAACAAAGGCTTATTGATGTTATGTTTAAGTCAAAACTTCCTTAAGGCACAGATATGTTTACTTTATTAGCATTTAACTGAAACCATGATCTTATATGAGCTCTGAGGGGAGTGCTTTTATTATCTTAACCTTATGTTGGACTCTGCTACTCTCCTGTTTCTAACTCCATCACTTGGTGTGCCAACCATTCATCCTGACGACCACTCTATGACTTCTGTCTCATGCTAAACCTTTGCACTACCTAATGTTACCACTCAACAAATCCAGACAGCAATTATCTTTCCCTGAGGATGAATTTGACAATACTTGTCTCTCTTTTTATTTGAACAAAAAGAGGGCTCTGTGAAAGCTTAATGTAGCCACGCTAAAGTGTAAAAAGAGGTCTGGAGAAAGGAAATTAGAGATACTGACATTACCTTAATGGTCAATGATTAGTTTAACCCACTGAATTCTTTGGTAGTTTTACATTGTAGGGAGAGGGTAGGGGGTGGGTAGACACACACAGATATACAGTTTGTATACAAACACAGACAAAGTCGGTCTGTTTGGATTGTAGACTCCTTTGGTAGCAGACAAGCAGCTGTAGCACATCAAGTCATATAAACAAAGCATGCCTCTCTCTACCACACTCTCTCTCTTTCTCTCTCTCTCTCTCTCTCTGATATCTGCTGTATGGAAGTCCCTCTGCGGACCATCCACCAGGGAATTATGGGCACTGGATGTATATGGAATATTAAACACCCGTCACAACATGGCTCCTATTCTCGTCTATTGAATCACGCACAGGACTGTGTGTAGCTCAGCAACACTCTGCTATTGTTCCAAGACAGGCCCATTTACTGGACTGATATTATTAATGACTGAACGACTGGTGTAATTAGTTTATTATGCAAATTTGATAAGGAGTTTTTTTCTCTCAGTGGAATTCATTTCATTTTGCTGTGACTCAAGAGAAAATGGCATATTATTATTCAAATTCATAGGAGTCTGTATTTTACACCCAAACAAATCAGTCATAATGCACTTAAATCATAAACTTGCCTCCGGGAGCTGCTCTATAAATGCATTTAGCTTTCATAAAACAAAAGTCCCAGATGAGCCGCTCAGCACCGAGGTATTCAGCACTTTATCTCCACTGCTGTGCAGGTATCAGCTGAATAAGATGGTGGTGGATACAGAAGCCGGACCTCATAGAAACCGGACCGTCCTGTTTCTTGGGTCAAGCAGGGGGACCATCCTGAAGTTCCTCATCATGCCCAACCAGGATAACACCGTCACTAACAGCAACATCTTCCTGGAGGAGCTTGAGGGCTACAACCCTGACAAGTAAGACACCAAGGCATAAATGATGTTAAATAGTAAAATATTAGTTGGAATATCCTAATTGGAATCGTACAGAAAAAACAGAAAAAAACATTTTGTTCTGACTTTTTTTTTTTACTTCAATCTCAGAATTCTAACTTTTATTTCGGAGCCAGAATTATGAGAAAAAAGTCAGAACCAAAAAAATGTTTTTCAGTGGCCGTAATCCTCTTCCGTAGCATCGGTTTGTTGATGAGAAAACTGAAAACACCTTATTTCTTTAGGTTTCAAAAGAAGCTAGTACAGCGAGGCTGCTGCTTACCAAGGCAAAAACAACACCACAAATGAAGTTCTCCAACTAACTCATTATATTGTGTGTGTTTTTTGAGTGCACACACAAAAGAGTTAACACTTAATGTCATGATTTGATGATGGCTTCATACCATGCTTACAGGGGCAGAGCCAGGTTAGCTGTTAAAGCTAACTGGCTGCTGGTGTTATCATATTCATTTATTGTACATGCATAAGAGTGGTTTAGGTTTTCTCTCTTACATTAACAGAAAGCATATTACCCAAAGGGCCAAACTTTTACTAAACAACAAAAACCATCATAGTCAGAGGGTTTGATGTAAAAGAGTTCAAGACGTTTGAGAAAAGGGTTCAGTGACATGTGGCCTTGACGTATAGTACGCATTAATGAGAGCATTTGCAGAGAAAATGAATGATGTGTTCTGAATTGTGCAGAAAGCCTCACCTATTCTTTGAGAGATCCACGTAACTGTGCAGCAGCTGAGATGATGCAACAGCATGCAGAGAAGAGAAAAGGAGCAAACAGAAAAGAAGAGGATTAGAGGCTAATATTCTTTATCAGAAGATCTGAACGTCTTCTAATGAGGTTGAGAAATTAATAATGAACGATGATAAAATCACATTATCTTTAATCTTACAAAAGTGATACAGAGCATTGTCAGGAAAAATGACCTCTTATCTTTCAGACTTTAGCTAAATTATATTTAATATCTGGATCTTGACAGCAGATTGGAGTGGAGTAGGCTTCTTGTCCCTTGCTTATTAGCATTTTGCATGACGCAGGCAGTTTAGGCGTTTTATTGGATGCCCATCACTACATAATGAACACAGGGTATAATGTCTTTTCAATCTTCATTTGTTTTCTTGCTTTTACTCTTTGTTAAGAAGCAGTGGAGGGTGGCTGCAGGATGGTTTGGGGACAGATTTGGCTGTCGATCATCTTTCACCCAGGCTTTTTAGAGGCATTTAAAAAAGAAAGAACAGTTTTCCAAACACTGGATCTGTTGTAGAAACTGATTTTATATGCCATTATTCTATCCTTCTATAAGGAGAATATAGTCCAATATACTTGCACTGTTTTCATCCTTTCCCAGCTCCTCCTAAATTTGCTCACCAATTTGTGTCTCAGCCTATTTTCTCTGCTTCAGATTTGACAAAATGAGGGATTGAGATGGCAAGTGAAATGAAGGGACTGTGTGATAGATGAACGGGTGTGGACCGCAGCCAGTGTGTGAGGGATAATTCAGTGTGTGTGCAGTATGAGCCCACCAGGAGGTCGGTGACAGTCCAGCTATAACAGCAGGCACCCAGCTAATCAGGAGGCACAGAGCAGCCAGGTTTTTTCTTTTCTTTTTATGCCCAAGGCTTTGCCACCCCCAACCCCACCTTACACACACACACACAGACAAAGATGCTTTGTGCCCTGTTATAAACCTCAGGGCACACAGAAGAAGGGCCACTAACACAGTCTTCTTTCAGAAGTCAGTCAGATAGAAATCAGTGGTTATGGCTGGCTGCCATAATGAACCAGGAAATGTCCTGAAAGAGTTGCAACTCATGCAATCTGTTTCTCCAGTTTTCTCCTGTTGTATGATCTCAGTTCTATGTTACCTATTTTCTTTTCATGACTCTCATCTTTTTGTCTTTGCCTTTTTTTTCACGTCTTTTGTTGGTTGTTTATTCTACTTTTTCCGCGTCCCTCACATTCCTCCCCCCTCCTCTTCTCCATCCTTTCGTGGTATTGCTTGTGAAGAATGACTCACAGCTTGGCCTTAGCACAATGATAGATTCTCCTTAATGACTGTGGGTCCGCCGCAGTGTTATTACCATAAACCATCCCGATACAACTGATGCATGAGTGCACATGTGCATAAAAAGGTATAAATCTGCCGCACAGAGGGACGTTGGTGCTGGTGATGGTAGCTTTAAGTGCCAATTAGAGGAGAATCAGTTCCTGGCTGCTGTTTTTTGAAGGCCGACCGACCTCCAGAACCTCTACAATCGGCACTGCGCATTATTGGACCGACATCTGGTTGCACTGGCCTCGCCTGGCTTACACTTTCATGACGGCTTTTATTTGAAGCCCTGTTTATGTTTTGCTTTGATTCACATTGAGTCATGAGAAATGTTTCCCCCCTGCTGCTCAGAGTGAGGTCAGAGGTTTTATGTGCAGACTTGGTCTGGTAATTGAAATTGCCTAATGCAAATTGTTTTGTGTTGCATGTGTTTGCATGTGTTTGTTTCTGTTACAGGTGTGCTGAAGACTCTCCACAGGCCAGGCAGCTGTTGTCTCTAACTCTGGATCGAGTGAGCCACACTCTGCTCCTGGCCTTCCCCTCCTGTGTGGTCAGAGTACCGGTGGCACGATGCCAACTCTACTCCAGATGCATGAAGTAAGTCTGCACCAAGCACAGAACAGAGACTACAAACATGATAAGAAGTTAGGTAACCATTGAAGAACCATCTGGCCTTCACAAATGTCCCTTAGCAAGACGCAGAGACCTCCTGCCAGATCCAGAGGTTGCTGCACTTCAGTTGAACTCAATTCCCTGCACTAATCACCCTCCTGAAACTTCATAACAACTGTCACTGTGTCCTTGAGCAACGTGACAATCTGTTAACTGCAGCATAATCCAAAAATGAGTCAAAGTGCCATAAAGTGCTCCTCTAAATTGGAAGAAAATCTAATAAAAGCTGGTTGTGTAATTCACCATCATTAAAAATAATGCTGCTTTATTGCCAAGGCCTGCATGGTTTTTCACTTAATTATACACTATATGTTCCTCTATTTTCACAGGTAATGAGTAGTTTACTGACTGTAATACATAATATGGAAATAAATGTTTGAGCAGTAAGACTTAAATAATTGTAGTACATTATTGGGCGGCAGTTGCTCAGTCTGTAGGGATTTGGGCTGGGAACCGGAGGGTCGCCGGTTCAATCCAGACTCTTTTTAAAGAGAGATTACAATTCATTACATACATACATGTTTTCATCCTGTAGTTATAAGATTATCAGAAATCACTCTGGTGAAGTTTCTCCTCTTTTTTTTCTTCTGGCAGCTCACCAGTATAAATGTTTGGAACTCAAACTGCTTAATGCGCAATGGTGCATTACGGAAACATTAAAAAAAACAGCAACTCTGAATTAACTAATCCAATCCAATGAAACTTAAAAATTAATTTATTCAAAGGAATGATATCTCACACACAAACAGCACAGCACTGCCTCACTCCCACCCCTGCTGGCACACTTACCAAGTCGTGCCGCCTGTGGCTGTGCTCCATTAGGGTCCATTGACACACTAACACAAACCGGTATGCAGCACCAGCGCATCAGGCGTGCGGTGTGTTCACTGAACCAGGTGAGTCATACAAGCGTGAAATCCAGCGCACATTAAGAGACGCTCACATGCCTTGTGAGGTGTGTTTAGTGTGTGCGTTTATGTGTTTAGATGTGGGATTTAATGTTCTCTGTGCGAGTTTGTTCAAGGCTTCTTAGTCACGCTTCAGCAGCTTCAGGTCTGGGTTTTAACCTTTACAGATTGCTACAGTGAGCTTTTTTCTTTTTCTTTTTTTTTCAAATGGATGGATCTTTAATAATTCATCATTTTACAGTGAAGGATCTGCTTTCCAATACTACCAGTCTCAGATTGTCATTTTAACCTCATCTCACCTTCCGTAGGACCTGTCACTAAAATGTCTTGTTGTCCATTTAACCTTTGCGTAAACCCTCAGTGCATCATTAAAGGAACATATCAGTTTAACATATTATTGGTTTACAACTGACCTCTTTTGATGCTGCTTGAAATCCCTGTCTCATTCTCTACATAAAGTAATTACCCTTCATTACACGTGGGATAAAAATTAACTCACTGAGTCTTAAAACTTGTAAACCTTTACAGCAAACTTCTGTTGTTTTTCTTGTTGTTTTGCAGAATTACAGTTTCATTGTTGAGCTCTGTATTTACGGCCAGAAAAGATTTTATTTCAAATCCTCTACCTGCTTTAGCAGACAAGGACATTAAATATCTAATATGTCTTAGACAGGGTTGAAATGTCTCTCTATCTGATGAATGTCTTTTTTTAACTTAAAAACAAATCTCAGGCAAAATGCACATAATAAAATTGCCTGTATTGACAGTTGGTTGAGTTTTTTATACTGTAGGTTGTTGCTTCACAAATACTGTAGCTCTAAACACCTGAATGACAATGATTTCAGGAGAAGGTGGTGTTGCTGTTTAAAACTCTGACAAAAGCCAGAAAGAACGATGGCTTGTCCAACTTCTTTTTCCAAGTTATTAATAAACTTTTATACTTACTGTAGGTTTCTGTCTCTGCTCTGCTCTCAACACCATTTCCACCTTGCCCATTATTTTATCTCTTAAACAGAAGTAGATGACAAAATAATCACTGTGACGAAAAGCATCCGGCAAGTTTCAAGTTTCATATGAAGTTGGAATTAAATATAGATTAATTTCTTTCTTCGAAGCATGAAAAAAATATCTAAAAAGTCATGTCAAACTTAAGGAAAGGATATTATGGAAATCTCCGGTTTTCATGTTTTGTTGTTAATCAGCTAAGATGTTTTATGCAAATCTTCAATATGAGAGGCGATATCCTTAGAATCCCTGCAATGCAAATAATTAAAATGAATAAATATGTCACAGCCCTTAACTCATGTTTGAAACAGAAAGATCGGCCTTTAGGATTTAGTCGAGATCAAGAAAATCTGTGTAAAATATTTAAGCTACTTGAGGAGAAGTGAAGTACCGATTATTCAAATTCAAGGAATTAAAGTTAAACCGCATATGTCTCTGCAGGAACTGTATCGCCTCGAGGGATCCTTACTGTGGCTGGACCAGAGGAAGCACCTGCTCTTTCCTCAGACCTGGGACCAGGTATGAAACCTCTCTATTAGTATTAACATCACGGCCATTGCACACCATCTGTACCCACCCAGACAGCATACATCACCTGCCCTACAGCACCACTGACACTCAGTTTGTCTGGTTCATTCTTTGTCTCTCTATAAGTCTATCCTTAATGTTTTCTCCTTTTTTACCTAATTCACCTGTCCTCACTCTTTTATCCCACTGTTGATATGATCTGTATTATTGAGTTTTTGTTTTATTCCTACTTTTATCATTCAGCCCAAGGTAATTCTTCTAACAGGCGACTCATACAGAGAGAGAGAGAGAGAGAGAGAGGAACGTCCTGAATTTTATTTATCTGCTCTGGACGTCCTTGATTCTAGCTGCAACTATCTCAGACTCTGACAAACATCTGTGTTCTTTAAGTAGCCTGTCACAAAGTCGGGTCTGTGTTTACTTATTGATTCAAGATGTCTGCGGCTGCTGTTTAACAATACTGTGTTCTTTCACTTTGCTTGTTATCAGGTTGTGGCTATATAAAACTGTGTAGGTGTGTGACTTGGAGCAAAGTTTGGTGTTTGTTTCCCTGTTGTGTAACCCTGTCTGTGCTTACGCGCACGTAATCAGACAGCGTTTCTTGTTTGGAAACGTTTGAATGTGTCTGACTGGATGTCTCAGACTGCTGTGTGTGGATATGAGAGTATGTGTGTTTGTGTGACCTTTCTCTCCTCCTGCTACTGAAATGCAACACTCTGTCTTGACAGCTCACCTCCATCCATGGCTGACTCCCTCCTGTGAAATCAAATCTCTGTTTAGGCAGGCTGCTTATTGAGTTAGTCCTTAAAAACACAGGTGTAGTGCCAGCAGAGCAGACAACATGGGCCTTCAAGACCACCCCAGGCTGCCTGCTTATGCTATTAAAGGCTTCTGTGTTGGTTTGGATTAGATTTAGCAAGGGCGGTCAACTTGGCAATCGATTTTGCATCAAGTTTCTGTGGATTTCCTCTTTGTGGACTAATGCAACCTCTCCCTGCAAAGGGACACGAGAAGAGAGCTAAGCTTGAGGCGCAACACAATGATGTAGTTTTGACTCTTTCTGAGGAACTCACTCTTTATGAATCTGATGTACTTTCAGTATTTTGTTCCAGATTTACTCTCACTTAAAACATCTCGACTTTGTATCTTCTACTTTTAAGCACATAATAAGAATGTTTTCTGTCTTCTTACTCTATGTTCAACAAACAGCAACTTCACCATCAGACTTTTCTTAGCTAACAATTTTGACCTTTTATCTGAAAGTTGTCACTTATTATTTCAAACATTTTTAACTGATTGTTTTTGTCTATTATGTATCCATAACTATTAGCTAACCATTTTTAATATCAATCACAGTAAAACCAGTTGTTCAAACTTTAATTAATTACTCCTTTCAGCTAACTATTTCTACCATCTACTCTTTACTTTTAACTTATTGTTGAAAATGTCCGCTTTTTCTAACATTTATAGACTTTTCTATTCATTTAAGCTCGAATGTAACCTATTCATGGGCCTCATTCAGCATTTTCAAACATATATATATTACTTTAAGCTCAGAACTCCACCTCTTTAATCACCTTTGAACTACTCGCTCTTTTTAAATTGCACAATGGCTCCTGGTTGTGAAACACAGCTGTAAACACGGTCCACAGCACTATAGTATGAATGAACATGTGGTCTTTATTATTTGTCCCTTTTATTGTGAAATCTTAGAGCCACTGTACCTTAGAAAATGAGCTGGAAATTAAAAAAAACAGCAACTGAAAAACAACAACATGCACGCATACACACGGACACAAAGGCAAAGCTAATGTAAACACAGTAAATGACCCAGGCCAGCGAGAGGAAGCCGACTGAACACAAGCCATTTTTCTTTATTACGATGACAACCACTATACGTTCGCAGTGCACTCGGACTCATTTGTCACCTGGTTCTCTAGGCATTAAAAGCATGAGCGTTGGCTGTGCTTCTGTATGAGCCTTTAGCTAATTGCAGAACACTGACTTCTAAGTCCCTCGTCCAGATCAGCTTCTTTAAACATCCAAGAGTTTTCTTTTTCCTTTGGTTCTTTCAAGGTTGTTTGTAGGCCAAATAGTGAATCACTGCAGAACAGAAGAATCCGTGGGACCAAGTTTAAAAGTGTCCACAGTGGACTTGAATGACCTAATATAACAAAAAGTCACGCAAAGTAAGATATATGATTTTTTAACCTGTTTTCTTCAAACTTAACAGAAATCGCTGGCCACAATCCAAACACAGACACACACACACACACACACACACACACACAGACCCTGTCTTTTGCAGCTTGGTGCAGTTTATTTTGTCTGATATGAGCCATGATTAAGAGCAGTTGTGTTTTTCTTTGTGAGCACCTGGTCCGTGTGCTGTTCTCATTTCCTCTCTGCTTCCTCACCTCATCATATGTTTTTGTCCTTTGAGTTTTTTCACGCTCCCTTGTTGCCGGAATGGGAAATGAGTTTTAAATCACAGGGATAGAGTTGTTGAAATAAGATATGTCATACGTTTTGGAATAAAAGTATATAAGAAAAATGTGAGGGTTTTCAACATTGTACACTCTTGAAAAATCACTTTGTCAATGGGGGGATAAATGGTTCTTTTTAAAATTGATGTGTTATGGTGTATTTTTAAGTAACTTCATACCTTGAAATCTATAGTAATGACAAACAGATATTCTTGGAACTTTTCCAACTCCTTAACACTTAAGGACAATTGAGTTTATATTTACACCAAAAAAATATCCATTGAAAACAAATATGCTGAGCTAGAAATACTCCCAATTTAATGCATTAAATTGCTAAGTTAATGACCCTGCAGGGATAAGTGGTTATCTTTACATTATCATGGACATTGTTACGGGATATTAGGCAACTTAAGAGCCTCTTGTGTTCCTTGGCTTCTTTAAGGGGTGGAAGTGGCTCAGTGGTCGATCGTCTCTTGACTGGAAGTCGGTCCTCAGCTCCTGCAGTCACATGACAAAGTGTCCTTGGACAAAACACTGAACCCTCAATTGTGTGTCAAGTGCATGAATGGGATTAGTTGATACTAATGGACTCTCACATAGCAGCATCTGCCATCAGTGTGTGAAAGTGGTGTGAATGGTTAAGTGTGACCTGTGCTGTTAAAAAAGTCATCTATAAACTATACGCCATACAAGCTCAAGTCTGTTGACCTTTTAAGTTATTCTTACGTTGTCCAAATAAAGACAAATAATTCTACAATCTGGGTGTCAAAGGAGCTTGTAGAGATTTATTTCCCCTTGCTTCTTGGCCTCTGCTGTATCATTGAGATAGTTTTCCTCTATCAGAGTGGATCTGTGCTGCGTGTCAGTGGCCGAGCTGCTACGCCTCTGTGTCTCCTGATTAATGACTGTGTCTCTTCTCCTCCGCAGACTGCCGTTCGAGCAAGATGTTGAACAGGGAAACGTGGCCCACTTGGGTGACTGTGACGGTAAGAGGAGTGATACTCAGTCTGTGTGTGTGTGTGTCTGTGTTTGTATGAGCGCGTTTGCTCACGAGTGTTACAGCTAATAGCTCCCTTGTCTTTGCCCAGATCCTTCTGTAACTTGTGTATCTTCAGTGTAAACAACAGTACAGTACAAGAGAGGGAAACAGTCTGGTAGTTTCAGTGTATGTGGAGAGGAATTCCACAAATAAACACAGAGATGAGTCCCAATCCTCATCATACATGCTCTGTGGATTCTCACTTCTCCCATGAGCAAACAATACCAACATGACGACGGTCTGCTGGTCTCGGTTTATCTCCGAGCTTGAAGGAAAAATCCCTGTGTATGTTTTAGCTAACTTTGTTCTCTTCCTTGTTTACTCTGTCTTTACTTGTATGATATCTTTGCTTTAGTCTGGTAGGTTTTGTTGCATATACATAAACTTAATTATATTCAACTCCAGCTTGAATCCCCCCCTTGATGTTTCCCTCTGTTTTCTCTCTCTGTCCATATCATTATGAAAATAGAAGTGGTGCACAGCCAAGTGAAATATCTATTCCAGATACACAGAGGTTTTTGGATGCTCCCTTGGCACCCCTGTCTTTGATCTGAGCACTAATTCCAATGCGTGCAAATTAATCCTGTGCTTCTGAAAGTTCCCCGAGTTCATGTGCCGTGCTCCCTGAGAAAAGAACAGATAAATATTGCATAATCGTGACTTGCGTATAGCTCTAATCCTGTTTCAGATGGGCGCTCTGTTTGATGCTGCTCTCTCACTTCAGGTCCTCTGACCGCCAAAACCACAGGGGACAGCCTCTGTAACTGATGGCTGATGCGCACTGTATGCATGGTGCAAGTTAAGCTAGTTATTTATCTTCTCTGAAGCATGATCTTAAAATGGATGCATGTTATTTAAAACAGACCATGTTGTGCGTATCAACCTTTTATTCCTGTACTTATGTAAGAAATTGAATACAAAAATGAGAGAAAATGTCTTCTCCATTTCAGCAAAAGTAAAGAGTTGTGCTAGAGCTTGTAATTAAAAATGCAACATCTATGATCATTACTGCACTTTAGAACTATACCAGCGGTGAGAGATGAACATAATTACTCTTGCTCAGCGCTAATGGACTATTTTACAAGCTCTCTTACAAGGTCTTTGATCCTCGTCTTGTTATATCTTGACCTTATGTGTAAGGTCTCGGGTCAGAAAAAGTAATGACATAGATACCAAAGGTTCCTCTGGCTGCACGCTGACGATCATTACAGCACTTTGTCTTTGAATGGGTTCAAAGATGTCTGCTATCCTTCAAAAGGGGCGCCTGTGATTCAGTGTTACATGAAGTTGTGTGATTTACTCGAGAGGTAACAAAAACATGTTCAAATCAAAGCAGCCTATCGCCACAGATGGCCTAACTTCTATTTTCTTAAATGAGTTGACACTTCAACCAAACATCTACAGGGGGTGCCGATTTAGCACCGTTGGTAAAGAAGGCCCCTCATGTACACAGGCTGCCGCTCCTCGTTGCACTGATTGACTCCTGACACTAACATGCACTTGGTGCATGTTATCCCCCCTCATTTCCTCTCTCTGTATATCTGTCCTATCTAATAAAGGAGGAAAAAAAGCCCCATAATAATCTTAAAAAATATAAATATCATAATTATAATATCTACAGGAAACATGTAAAACATTCCATTACGTTTACACATATGCTGTGTTGGCCACAAAGGTCAGTCGGAGTAATCAAATTAAAAATAAATCTTAATCCTCACTGATGTTGTCCTTCTTGGATTAAATGCTTTTTTTCTAAATGTGAATACACTAAAAATGACTATTTTGAGCCACTCTTACCAAGCAGCTCACTTCTATTTGTTATGTCTCTAAAGAAAAGTACAAAAAAAAATGTATTCAAAAGACTTGAAAAAAAGAGAAAACAAAGTATGCTAATTGAGTATTCCTCCTAGATTGTAGATTGGACAAATTCCATTTTCTTCTCCCAAAGCGGCACACTGACACATTTCTACATGAAGAGTCAGTGTGTACCAGATACAATTTGAAAACAAATAATTTGTTTGATGAACATCAACAAAAAACACATTGGCCCACTGGTGGAGTGGGTCATCTCTCGACTGGGGGGTTAGGGATTTGATCCCCAGCTAGTGCAGTCACATGTCGAAGTGTACTTGGGCAAGTCACTGAATCCTAAATTGCCCCCACTGCTTCACCAGGCATGTGAATATATAAGAATGGATTAGTTAATACTGATGGACACTTTACATAGCAGCCCCATCAGTGTAAAAGTGCTTTGAATAGGCAAATGTATTATATTATCTATAGTACAACTTGAAAGTGTCTTTCTTTAGACTTTAAAGCTCCTTCCTGAGCAACAAAAGGCAAAACTGAACTGCTTAACAAACTGTATAGTTTCTCCATTATGAGTAAATTGGTTTGGAGTTGTGAAAGCGTGTAGTGCAGCTTTAAAAAAGGCTAGATATTAGCCTAAAATATGAAGCAGAAGATGAATTCTCAAACAGAAAAAAGGTGGCAGTGCCCTAATGGCTGCTCCTCTTAGATCCTGTGTTAGATAGAGATGTACTTTCCTGATCCCTGTCCTCATCCTTGAGGAGTATCTGAGCTCTGAAGCATGTTTGCTCCTGTGTCTGATCCTGTCTTGAAATATGGGGGAGTTGAGCTCTGTTGACAGAGGTGAGCTCTGTTGTCGCCGGATGAACCAGAGCGGCTCTGTCGGCACGGTGGGAATGTGAGGCAGCATCTATCTGACGGCTGCCACCAACCCTCACAGAGCGCTTTGTCTCAGATATTGTGATGAACTCGATGCCACAGCAGATCTTTTCATCATATCCCTTTTCTTTATTTGACACTTTCATTGTTTCTGATATGCAGTCTTTTCTGTTAAAGCTGAGTCCATCGTTCTTTGTCTTCCTGTAAGACTAAAAACTCTGTTACCCGTCTGCAATCGTAATATTCAGTCAGACGAAGACAGAGAGGAGAAGCTTCAATGAGCTTGTTATGACAAACTGTCACTGACACCCTTTAGGCTTTAAAACTTTCTCTGTGTGTGTGTCTGTCAGCATCTTTCTCTGTGCTCGTCTTTACATGCCTTAGTCTTGACAAACACAGCACACATACATCTGTGTACCTACAAACACACACACACGCTCACACATATCAAAACAAACTCTTCAGAGACAAGCATCGGTGGAATAAGCTGAGGCTTATGGTTTCTGAATATTTCATACCTCCATATTGGACTAGTTCCACCTGTCTGTATCTTGACCCAGCAGATGGGAGGTGAGAGATGGTCTGGACGTTCCACATCTCTTTGGGGAAATTTAGGAAATCTCATTTTCACTCTCTCCTCTGCGTGCTTCTGTCTTCACAGAGGAGTCTTTTTCTGCGGCTATATGTTAAACTAAATTCCCCCTTTCTGGCCTCCAGTCACAATTAAAGACTTCACACGCACACGTCTTTAACTGTCCATAGTCATAAAAACAACCTTGAAAACATGATCTTCAATCGGAAATATTGTGAAGCGTGAGGTAATAGGTGAGTTTAAGAGTCACTGAAATCCTGAGGGTCTCGAAAGAGACTTGAAAGAAAATATGAGGGGTAGCAAGACTTGATGAGGGGGGAAAACATCTCTTTAAGTTTATTATCAATACTCTAATATTAACCTATTCCATTATTCTTTATCTTCTTATCAAAATCTACAAGAGACAGACATGAAGGAAATAATTCCTCCCTTTTTTATTATAACCATGGATAACTGATAGTTACATGAAGGGTTATTATTGGAATTGCATATCCCAGTAATCATTCTTCACTTTATGAAGAATACCCCGTCATTACAAGAAAAAATACAACAAAACATGTTCTTCTCGTAGGACTATTTACTTTTCTTCTTTTGAGGGACTTTGTCTCAGGACAAAGTAGTTCCAGTGAAATATTTTCCAAAGAAATGGGAGTGTTTTTTTTTTAATCTGGCAATCAGACATGTCTGTGAAATGTCTGCTACTCATCCATCATTATAGTTATTTAAAGTTGAATCCAAAAGGCATCTGGACATGTTTCAGGTTCTTGAAGACATTTAGCCTCTCGTCCAAAAGGCATGTCCTGTTGTAAAAGGAAGAAGCCTTTGGAATGAACACAACATCTTAAACAATGTCAAGATGCCTTTTGGATTAATCTTAGAAGTTGTACTATTGGCACATAGACTCCTCTTACATTTTGATAGATTTTCCATTTTACACAGCTCATCATAGATAATAAATGATTGCATCTAAGCACCATTTCTTTCTCAGGCCATTTTTATTTCGTCACGATCATCAGCGATATATTTGAATCCCTGGCGAGCTAAAACAGAAAGCAGTATGCGTGCCTGAAACACGATTGATGTACTGTATGTACTTAGATTCACTTTTTCAGAAGGGAAATTATCCTAGCTCTGGCTTTGCAGCTTGTCTGAAAAAGAGCAAGTCATTTACTGTGCCACAGTCTTTGCTCCTGTGCCGCTCCAGGCCTTTCCTCTGCCTCGTGCTTCATCTCTCTTCAGTCCCAGTCAGCCCTACACTGATTTCAGAGCAGCCTTGTTGTCAGACCTCAAAGGGAGATGGATGGACGGCCTTACTTAGAGCTCAGCTAACTGCCTCCCCTTTCTCCTTAGCCAGAGAGAAGCAGTTGGTTGGAGGGAGAATCGATTTTCATCTCTCCTCCGGCTGATGGCAGTCGAATAGATATCAAGGGTGATTCTGCAAGGAGGAAAAAAAAAAGGGGGGCTGAGGAAAGTGAGGATGAGGAGGGGGTGGAAGGGGAGGTTGGATAAATCAGATCCAAGAGTAGAGAACAGAGTCGAAAAGAGATTGAGAGATCATAGGAAGGAGGCAAACTTTGAGGATGGAAAGGGGTGAGAGGGTTCAGGGGATCAGAAGTGTGGAGCCATGAGGGTGAAGAAGAAAAGAAGCAGAGTGATAGGAAAGAGTG